AAAAAAAAAAAAAGGGAGATACCAGAAGGTGGGAAAGAATCCACAGAAAATGAATAGAAAAACTAACTTAAGACAAGGCAAAATCAGTTTACAATATTGCTGGGGTGGGTCCTGTCCCAATAAGACTTTACTACTGCAAGAGAATGCAGGAACATATCCTCAGGTCATCAGATCACCAGGGGGATAACTTAATGTTCAAAAGAAACTATGCACATGAAATCAGTTTGTAAACTGTAAAGTCCAGTTACAAAGGTTGTTAATTAACATCAACTTCTATTCCTGAGAAAAGTAATAGATTCCTTAGATCTATTCCAGATCTAAGAACAAGTCCAATCCACAAACAGAAGAACATGATATGAACAAACTAAAACACAATAACATGCCGTTGAGTATGTTTTCTATTTAAAGCATATCGCTTATCTGAAATAAAACAGAAAAAGAGGGGCAGGTTGGGAACAAGGGGTGGTGTCTGGTCAGAAGGGAAATGATCCAGAGCCTGTATGACCTTTGTCACTTTTTTCCTCCACATATTCATGTATGAAAATGACTCAGCCCTGACACTGGTGGCTTATTTTTAGTAGGGGCAACAGAGCCAGTTGAAAACCTAAGCACAGTAACCATTGCCAATCAACAGCCTCACACATCAAAAGCAAAGAACAAATACTCGTTTATTCATTTCAGTGTAATATGTTATTACTCAAAGGGCACCAGAGAGTCTGCTTCTTTCAAGATACATATTTGTTCTTTCCTTCTGCCACAATGCTGGAACCTCCCAGGGGCAGAGTTACTCCTTTCCTTTGGACATGAGATTTCAGCATTAGAAGGTCCCTTAGCCAGCTCCTAGTGGAGTCCATTTCTCTCATTTTACAACTGAGCAATCATCCAGAGTCACGCGTAAGCTTAAGACTGTGCTGGACTCTCAGTTCAGAGCCGCATTCCCCCTCCATTGTTCCAAATTCCTACGTCAAAAGCCCAATAATACATGTATCAGATGTTTTACATGCGACCCTAGATCTGGAAGAAGAAAGGATGTATCCTGGGCCGATGTCTCATTCTAATGTAGTATAAATGGTGCAAATAAAGGAATCACATCGTTGTTCACTATCACATTAGTAGAAATCACAGTCTTCTTTGCTGCTTTGTAAAAATGTTAAAATTTGGAATGCTGGCTCGGTGCCTGTGGCTCAAGCGGCTAAGGCGCCAGCCACATACACCTGAGGTGGCGGGTTCGAATCCAGCACGGACTCGCCAAACAACAATAATGGCTGCAACCAAAAAAAATAGCC